CAATATGTATATATTTTTTAGAAAACCATAAGAACATATTTAAATATAATAATATCCGTTCATTTTTTTTTATTTTGTAAAAACAAATCTATATATGTTTTGACCAAAAAAATCAAATTGTTGTAGATATTTCAAAATTTTTGAAAGAAAACGACAAAACAAACACTAAAATAAGATTTTATATCTAATATTCTACTTCGGAAATCAACTGAAAACACGGTTAAAAAAACTTGTATTCTCAACAAACATTACAGATCTTGATAGATCCGTACTATAATCGCCCTATTGAACCATTTTCTTATGATTCATTGAAGTATGTTAGCAAAATAGGGACGACAACATAAAAAACAAAAAACAAAAAAATATCAAATTGACTTCTGAAATTAACTGAAAATACGATTTTACAAAAAAAATAAAAAATCATAAATTCTTAACAAAGGTTACAGATCTTGATAGATCCGTAATATAATCGTCCGATTGAACCATTTTTTAATGATTTTTTTTTTTTTCACACTATAGAAAATAACTCCATTAACCAAAGAAGCAAGTACAAAGTTTAAACAAAACGGAAACAACTCCGAAAACAACACAATAAGCGCCGCACCCAAACTATGAGAGAGTCACTCAAAGAGTGGTCTAAAACCGATCCCAAACTACGAGCCTTAAGCAGGGACAAACTCCCGAGACTTAAGGCCGTTAAACCACCAATCTACCAACCACATCCAACTAAAAGCAACACAACAACAAAATAAAACAAACTACAAGCACAGAAAGACAAACATAACCGAAAAAAGAAAACAAAAGCTATCTACTCGGTCTGCCCATCCCTTCAAACTCTTGTCATTCCTTCCACGCATTTCTCAATATCACATCTTCCGGCATCCATGCTTGCTCAAATAACCATAGATTTCTTGACCGTCATAAACACCACAATATGTACGTGGTCAATTGCATGCGGTCTTCAGAAATAATGGATGAATAGTAGAACATACCTGCCACCATCATTGCCTAAAGAATGTCTCACTGTGAAGAGCATGTTTATTGTGTTTTTGTGTTTCTTTTTATGTGTTTTGACACGGGAGAAATCTTGTATTATTTTGGGGTTTAATTTATATATTGGAGTATTTGATTTTAGTGTATTATACAAGTTTTTTCACGTATTTATTTGGTGAACGGACATACACCAATATTCGTATTTTGTGTCTATTTTGCAGTTTAGAACTATTTGATGAGGTGGCTAATTAAATAAGTAATGACGTGGATTGTACTGCCGAATGCCGAATATACACACACGCAGAGGGCTCTCAATTCATCCAAGTTGTGGCGGGATTGTATCGTTATGAGACTGACTAGGAATATGAGGCTTCGAAGCTTTGGTGACGGTAATGAGTACGATGAGCTGAAGCGATTCTCAAAGTGGCTTATTAGCATTGGCGATGGTACAGTCAGTGGATCGAATGAGGGTTGTGCCAATATTAACATCCCTGATGATATTCTTTTGAAATCTCAAGGGGGATCCTATTGCTACTATTGTTGAGAGTGCCTATCCGATGCTCAGGAGTTCTGGTGACGACCGTAGTTATCTGAAGGATAGAGTGATACTCGCTCCCACAGTTGATGTTGTTGAGTCCGTTAACGAATAGATGAGCTCATTGCACTATTCCGAAGGAAGGACTTATCTCAGTTCAAACACAGTTTACAAGTCAGATGCTAGATATGACTCTCTTTCAAGATCTTCGTACTCTTAAATTTCTGAATGGGATAAAGTGCTTGGGACTATGGAATCATAAATTTCACTTGAAGGTCGGCACTCCAGTGATGATGTCGAGAAACATTGAGCACTCCATGGGGTTGTGCAACGGTACACCTTTAGTTATTACTAAGCTCAACAACCATGTCCTCGAATGCAGAATTTTAACCAGTGCTAGAGCGGGTGGCAAGGTACTTATTCTGAAGCTCACTTCATACTTTTCGATTTGAGGGTACCGTTCAAGTTTCAGCGTCGTCAGTTTCCAGTTATGATTTCCTATGTTATAACAATCAGTAAGAGTCAAACATAGTCTCTATCACACGTCGGCTTAGTACTCAAGAACCCCTGCTTCAGTCATGATCAGTTGTACGTTTCTATTTCGAGAGTCACGAATCGTAAGGATTTGAAGATAACGATTTGTGGCCAAGGGAATTCAGATGATTGAAAAACCATAAATGTTGTATACAAAGAAGGTTTTAATAAGATTTAGAATATTTTTAAATTGTAAATATTTTGTTGATTAAAATATGATTTTTTTTCTTTTGTTTATATATTTATATTAATTACTCATTCTCATAATTCACTTTCTGTGAATGCACAGGTTGGATACTAGTTGGATGAATAAATTTTGAACATTGATATTTGTTCACTATGCAACTCGTATTTATCAAATGTGCCTCTAATACTTACCAAATGTTGAGATCGTATATGATTTATTTGTACTAATTGAAAGAATAAATCCTGACTTTGATGCTTGTTTATGTAACTGATACTTATCCAACGTGATTATTTGTATTAATTAGATGGGTATGCTTTGATTTATTTATTTTTTCTCGTTCAATATGTAAGTGGTGACTGGTGATTACCATGTGTGCCTTTGTTACCTAATGTATGTATTAAGTTGTACTCAAATTATTTGTACTAATTGGAATTATATTTAATTTTGATACTTATTCTGTATGTGACTTATCTCTTCTATATATAATTTCAGAATGCATTGAGTCTAGCAAACTCTCATGTTTCGGAAAGCTATTTGGCAAAAAATCATACTTTGGAGTTAGGTTTGGATATAAATTAATATTTATATTAATTGTATTTTAATATCATTTCCTATTATAACCATTGAATTGCAAATATATTTTAAAAGTTGATAACTTTTGTATTTCTTATCGGTTTTACATATAAAATATATCAAATTAATCATCTTTTGATGAGCTTTGATTTGACATCAATATTGTATATATAAAATAAATAAATTATATTTATCTTTATAATAATAATAAAATTATTTATTAAAATTAATTAGAAAATAAAATTATTTATCAATTAATATATTTATGTTTAATGTAGTTATATGTTATAAGGTAGAGAATTTATTATAATATAATACATATAAGTCGCACAAGTAACATGTGTCATACTAAAATATATAATAATATATACTCCCTCCTATTTTTATTATTTGGCTTAATTGATCATTGATAAAATAAATGTCGTTTTAGATATTTTGTTCATATTTTTCCATTTTTAACCCTCCATCTAATACACAGTGTCTCTTCATATCCCATCTCATAACATCCATTAAATAGGGTTAATATTGTCAAGAAAAAAAAAACGAACCTTAATTAGTGTGTTGCATTTGAATTGATATTATGAAATGCGTTTGTATTTTACTATTTATTTATATATATATTAAAAATACAAAACAGTAATATATATCTTTATAAATAAAATTTACATATATTTATCAAACTAAATTAAATTATATCAAATAAAACTATAAATTATATTATAAAGTAATAGAAATTAGTATGTAATCTTTTAAAAATAATATTTATTCCATCTAATTGGTATGTTGGCAATGTAATAAAAATAAATAATTATTTATATAAATTCTAAAATTACATATAAAGTTAAAAAACTGTGAAACACGATTGATACGACACTTGATGTATTAGACATCTAATTAAGTAAAAGAATTAATCTATTTTGCTTAATATTAAATAAACATATTTTACACTTATGCATATACATATCACCATATTATTTCTATTTATTTAAGATATATATTTTTATCTTATGTAATAGTAAATAATATCAATATTTTTATACGATATAAGTAAAAAAATTCAACACGGATTGACATTTTCATTTAATGTACGGGTGTTTAATTATTATGATTAAAAAAATATAATTTGAAAATTTAATTAAAACTAAAAGTAATGTTTTATATAAAATTAAATTATTTTAGGTTTTAAAAAAATAAAAAATTTAATATTTTTTACAAAAGCTTTCTAATTCAACACCCGTGTAATACACGAGTATTGTACTAGTAGTTATTAAATGTGAATCTGTACCGAATGAATGTTAAACAAGTACTTAATTAATCTTGTACTAACGCGTTTAGACTCGCTGTTCTGTAGTCCGACCCACACTTTTGGTAGGACTGGGGACCGGCCCGCATGTTTATTTTATTTGTACTCCAACTTTCAATATATTTGAAACAAAGAAAAAATTACATTTTGTCTACTTAACTATCCAGAAATTTACACTTTGCCTACAAAACTATTTTCTTTTCACACTTTGTCAACCTAACTTTACTTTTTTGTACACTTTGCCATTTCCAGTCACCACCGGCCTTATAATCCAACACGTGGCTTTTGCCTTATTGCCACGTGTGGCAAGCGGTGACCGAAANTTGTAGCGAAGTATAAATTTCCTGATAGTTAGGTAGGCAAAATATATTTGTTTCCTTGAAACAATTCATTATGTAATGTACTTATTTTATTTGATTAATTGAAAATAATAATACAAAAAACTGAATAGATCATAAAAAAATAAAAAAATATATACAATTTAAAATCACATGAAAATATAAATTATGTATCACATGAAAAATATATATAATTTGATTAATTACAAGTATTGTAAAAAGTAATAATGACTAAATAGTCAAGAAAAGGACCGTTTCACAAAATAAAAATAAAAATAATAATACTCTTTATTTACGCTATTATTAGCATGCCCTTTATTTACGCTATTATTATTTCTCATTAGATTTAACATAAAATAAAAATAATAATACTCTTTACTATTTTGCATATGATTTATTCGTTGTTCCCCTATTGTGGGTATCATTTTTAGAAATAAGAAAAAATGGTAATAGCATCACAATCCATGTAACTATGTATGTTAACCAAAGACCTTTCTCCAGAAACGAATGATTATTCTTAATACCATTATCTCCTCTTCACTTGATAGAAAACATTCCAATTTCAGCTGATTGCTCCTTGGCACCAAGTCGGTCTGCAAAAGTATTGTAAAAGGCCATTGAGTCTACTGACTCTAATACTCTAACCCAACTCCGTTTGTTTTGATCGACAATCATTCTTCCATCGTCACTTTCATTACCCGTGGCCAACACCTTAACCTTCCTTTGTGAATACCTTGTCGTTCTCAAAAACGAGTCATGACCCGCTAAGATTGCCGAGCCAAGTATTTCCCCCAAGAAAATATCCTGCAAGTCGAGGGTGTGTTTGTATATGAAAAAATCCAATCCATACTCAAACTCTAACTCAGTTTTAACCCAACTCCACCATCCTCAATATTATCAATACTAGTACAGAGCCCGTGCGATGCACGGAGTGCACAATTTTAAGGCTATTTATCCAGACTTATAATTATATACATGAATACAGAAAAATGTACGGGATATATATAGTACGTGACCCGTGCGAGGCACGAGATACATTTATTTGAGGAATACTATATTATAAGATGCAATGTTCAATAAAAGTTTTATAATACGCAGGAAAATTATACAATAAGATAGTATTCGACAAACAAACAATCATATATTATTAAAGGCCACCTTGTACACAACATTATGAATTTGATTTTCCATTCAATAATAATAAGATTTTTTGTAAAAAGATAAGAAGGAATTTTCAATCTACACAAACTTTAATCATTAGATGTATTTTCGTAAATCAATGACTATATAGACAACATCTACTTTATTTAGGGTGACGTAAAATAAGGATTTAATTTTGACCAATTAAATCTTTATTCATAGGCTTGACATATAAAACTGATTTGATGAGATTTTTTTAACTAAACCGATGCTATGGGATAAAACAAATCTATACTTTCCTTTGACTTTTCTAGCAAAGGTAAAAAAATCGGTTCTGATTTTTATCCCATAACAAATCTTTAATGTCAAGCCTATAAATACCAAAACAAATCTGTAATTAATATCATTCGATTTTCAGCAAGCATTAATTACCTTTGACTTTTCTGCCTACTATTTCTAATAAATAGGATGACTTTTTATATAAGTATAGATTTCATATAATGCAAAGACTGAGATCATAAAAAAAATCCTACAAACTGAAACAATATATTTGCATAATTTAAGGTCATTAAGAAATCGATCTCTAAACCAGATTTGATTTTCATAATATGTTTTTTCATTTCGAATTCCATACAAAATGGAATTCTTTCCAACCAATAGATGTCATAGCAAATATTAACTCTTAACTATTAGACTATTAGTACATACCGAGCAAATTGTGTACTGATTTTAGAAAGTTAAAATGATTCATGTTAGGTAATTTTACATTTCATGCATGTTGAACGGTGGGTTTTAAATATTGTTTCATAGAATGTAAATGTGTATTATATTATTTTTATGAGATGTTGAATTTAAAAATTAATAGAATTCTTCTTCATAGTTATTTTAAATGTAACAATATTCTTTGGTATACACTACTAATAAAATCTATATTTAAAGTTTATATTTTTTTTTACCGAAAAAAATTCCTTAATTTAAGGAATCATATATCTTCAATCAGTTCACATATATATACATTCTTCACAATGGTAAATCTTGAATTTGATGAGAATTCATTTCTATGAGTGCAAAATATGGTTTAATAAATTAATTTTTTATTATTAATCCAGCCATACTTCTTTATACGATTTTTTGTGAAAATACAAAAGTAAATTCTTAATTTTAAATCAGTCGTACATTAAAGAGTGCAAATTTGTTGAAATTCCAAAAATAGTTTTTTACCTTTAAACAGACGTAAATTTAAATCAGTTATAAAAAAGTAATATTTGTTTACCATTTAAATATTAAATCAGCCGTAATTAATGTTGTTTGTTTTAGTTACCACGATTTTCTCCAAACTAAATTAACAACTGCCATGATTTAAGGGCAACATTTAATGCTGCTCTATTTTTAGGAGACATTAAATGTATTTGGCGGGAAAAACTTGCTAAAAATGTTAAATGGTTAATCTTTTAATATAATGATAGATAATTAAATAATACTAACCAATCATTTTTACACATCACGTCAACTTTAATTTACTATTCATCCTCTCACATAATTTTAACTAACCATCACTTCACACTATCTCTCCTACTTCTACATCAAATCAATTTTAATTATTTTATTTTAAATATTATTTTAATATAAAATCAAATACCACTATCAACTAACCATACCACTTTTTCAAAATTAGCTCTAATTAACCAAAAAACCTCATTTTGAGCGAATTTATTTGTATACAAATACGCTCTAAATATGCATTAGCAAAGTTTTATTGAATTTGGTGTCACGACAATCTTGTTTACTTACCACATGACGGTACCTAGGATGAACCCTTTTCAGCCCATCCAATGTCGAGAGCAAATTGGTGGCAAATGCAGCCTCAGGCGTCTTTTTTTTCCGGAGAGCAGACAGAGCCCAACTGAACTGGCGGGCCCCACGCTGGACGCCAAGCGGGATGAGGGTAATATTGAGGCCCGACTCGAAAACCGTCTTTGCAGCCAGGGGGTCGAGAAAAATGTTGAGCTCTGCATATTTGTTCTGAGGAATGTTGATCACATTTCCTCTATCGTGCGTATATTTGCTGATGTGCCCTCCAACCACAATAATTTCCTGCCCAAAAATATTGTTCAGAGGAAAATTGAAGAATATTAATAAAGCTATGGATCAGAGAGAGATTATTGTTTTAGTCACACACCTGAATACAAGAAGTCGAATTCTTGTCTGAAATGATAATTTGCGCGACACTTGTCAAAGGCCCGTTCGTTAAGATGGTAACATTGGATCCCACGTCCAACGAACTTATTACCGAATTCCACACTTCAAGAGCCAGTGGTTGTCTGAGTTCTGGGTGATCGGTGTCACGAGGAGCTCCAAATTTCACCGAATTCTCTGATGTGTACCTGCGATAAAAATAAATAGAAAACAATAAAACGAGTAAGGGATGCTTGGATATAAGATATTTTGATTTGTTTTTGATTTTTTAGTTTGGTATGGTTAATTTTGAAAAAGTGGTATGATTAGTTGTTAGTGGGGTGAGTTTATATTAAAATAATATTTAAAATAAGATAATTAAAGTTAATTTAATGTAAAAGTATGAGAGCGATGATGTTAAGTGATGGTCAGTTTTGTGAGTATCTGAATAGTGAATTAAAGTTGATGGAATGTGTAAAAATGATTGAGTGTTATTATTTAATTATATGATAATATTGAGGATAGGGGGTTGAGTTAAAGTTGAGATAGATTTGAGTTAAAAAAAAAAAGTAATTGGTTAAAAATGATTGAATTATTTTGGAAAAATTTGTATCCAAGCATCACGTTTAGCCATAGTACTAGGGCAAAGCGTAATAAAAAAACAAAAATTGCGAACCTCCGAGGGCTTCGAGGCATATCATGGGCGAATCCGTATAGCGTGTCAGAGTCGAGAAAGCCACCGGCGCCATGTGGAATGGCCCTTCTGTACTTGCAGCTTCCAATCAAATTGAAGTTAGCATAAGTCTGATTACTTGCATATAAATCTCCAAGACCAACCAAGATATCATCACGTTTCATGATGTGTAATATGTCATAGACAATGTCAATGGTTGCAGCAGTTGCCCATCCAGTTGGAGTCACGAGTATTGCCTGGGTAGAAAAGCGTGGTGTATGCATGCATGCAGATTAATTAACAATGTCGCAGATTTTATCGTGTGATCTCAATGCGGTTGAATCGGGAATATTGAAGAGTTGTGGTGGGAGATTAATCATTTTTTTAAATATTTAATGAGTAGAATAAAATAAATGGGGCGTGGTCACAATTGCAATAGTTCTTTTTGAGATACTGATTTATTCCACTACTTTTTCTATATACGCCAACAAGTCGAAGATCATGAAAGCAAATTCACCTGAAATCTCAATGCGCTAGGCAAAAAGCAGAGGAGTGTAAATAAATTTGTATGATAGATGAACGAAGCTATATATGTAGTAAAACTGGTAAAAATATTAGGGAAGGTTGCTTTACCTTAAGATATATTAGTTCAGTTGGTACTTTGAGAAGATAAATGAGGGCCAGAAAATCTCCAGGACTCATATCCATGTCGAATACAACAGTTTTCCCTAGTTTTCTTTCTTTAAAATCTGGCACATCGGTGGCTTCCCGGTATTGAGGAAATTGTGTCGTATAATCGAGCTTTCCTGTTGGATGTGGCCGGTTTATGACCTGAAACAGTCACTGTTTTTCTTAGAACAGAAAAGAATGTGTACTAAAAGTAAAAACGACAATGTAAGATTCACAAACAGGGGATATAAGATTACTAGTTTCCATGTTGTAAATTGTGTTATACTCGCCTACGTGCGTAAAAGGCGGTGGGATGATGGTTGAAAAATTCAACTTCTATGTTTGAGACCTTGCATGTTTGGATACTTTGAACTTTTTCACAAGATCTAGACATTTTTGCTATATCACTAAATACACTGATAGAGATTAGGAAAGTAAATCATGAAAAGGAAAGCAAGAATGGAATATAGTATCTAATGCAGAAATCAAGGGATTGACTGGAATCATGGGATCCTACTTGGCATGGAAGGCTATCAAATTGTTATCATATTTCTTCTTTATAATTATTACCTTACATAAATAATATGCTTATAAAAGGGTTGTGAGGAAGTGATGATTAGGTATAGAGAGAAATAATATTGTTTGTCGGCCTTTTAGCTTGGGCGGGAATATTTCCCGAGGAGAACTCCATGTTCTTGGAGTAGCTTGTGTTCTTTTTCTTTTGTTTTTAATTAATAATATTTAGTTTCTTTTACATTGGCCCTTTACTCCTATCATATACGAACACTATTTGTGCAATTTTTGCCATTTTTTATGTATGGTCTACATATGATTCTTATTAGGAAATAAGGGACATGATAATAAGCAAGCATAGTTTTTACTTTTTACTTTTTACTCACATCAAGAAATTTTTTGTAGAATGCTTTGTCCAATTTGCTATGTTTATCTGGGTTAGGCTTTGCTCTTACGGCCAAACGAACACGCACCCCTTCGGGACCCGTTACTTCTTGTGTGTCTCCATCCTATATATATATTTTGAAAGTTAACATAAAGCTAGAGGACGAGAATTAATTTAAA